CCAGGTGACGTTTACTCCTCATGACTTTTTTCAGCAAAAGTTCTCATTTTCTAAATGCCTTGAAAATACGGGCTCTTCAGAGGGCCCAGTAAGCGGAGAGAGTATTTGGAGGTGAGGAAAACATTTACAAGTCACTCCCTTTCCCAAGGCGAGAGGCTCTTGGTCCTCCTGGGCGGCGACTGGCCAGCCTGTTCTGCACCAGGCACTGTAACAAGTGCCTGAAGATCCAGCCCATATAAGCCTCACGAAGACCCAGCGGGGTGGGCATTAGCTCACTTCATGGGTAAAGAAACTAAAATGTGAAGACAGTAAGTACTTCTTACCCAGGATCACCTAGCAGGTAGGTTAGGGAGTCCGAATTTGACCCCAGCCTGGATTTTAACACCTTCTACATTAAAAACATACCTCCACTTACTCAACGTGGTTTGAAGGAAGATTATCTAGTTTCTCCAAACCTCAGTTTCCTCTCTGTCAAATGGGAGGAACGGTCCCTACTTACAGAGTTCTTGGGTTTGGATATAACATATATGCAGTGCCTTGCACAGGTGACTGGAAGAGCAAAGGCATTTCCTTAAGAGTGACTATTATTTTGAAGCCTGAAATTACCGTGATCACGTTATCTGCCGCCTTCCACCCTCACCAATCTGCTCATCCTCCTAGGTATTCATCTCAAGGCAGGCAAGCAGCTGTGTGGCACTTATGTTTGCTCTTCTCTGCCTCCTATGCCTGACGGCAAACATGAGGATCCCTCCAGACTGGGCTGCCGACCTGCCTTCTTATACTACCTCGGAGGCGGGGAGGTCTGAAAGCCCCAGGGTGGGGCAGGGTGGGGTTCTGAGTAGAGATCACGGCAGCTCAGCGGTGCTCCTTGCCAGCAGCAGTGTGACTGGGGCCTTCCAAGACCTGGGGCCGAGCTGCATTTACGCCAGCAGGACCCAGTGTACAGTGGGCTGGGAGCCCTATGCAGGAAGGGCCACAGGTGCTGGGATCAGTGCCCCCAAGTCCCCTCCCCAAACAGATGCTCCCTGTCACTTCCTATTTGACCTCAGTTTAGAATCAAGAAAACCTATTGATTCCAAGGACTGTGCCTGCGGTACCCACTCATCAGGATATTGAGAGTTCTTTTTCCCTCAAGCCCAAGCCCTGAGTGCCCTGGAAAGGAGGTGTGGGTCACAGAAGGACCCACAGGGGACAGCTCCCACTCCTGTTGCTGCTGCCATGTGCCAGGGAAGAGCTGGGCTTCTGTGATCTGAAGCCTGCTGGATGACATTCTATTTTAACAAGACCTCAAATTTGATCTCCATTTCAAGAAGGGGAAATGAAGAATGGGTTCTCCCTGGAGCCCGTCTGCCCCTTGGTCTGATTTGGCCCTGAGGCCAGGATCCCACTTCTCTGGCAGCTCCCTGGTCTCAGCTCTGGCCGGGGGCGGGGAGAGGGCCTTGGGCGCCAGCTGGGTGTGGGAGCAGTGACTGCTGATGCGCCCTGACAGCCACCCCCGCCTCAGGTCGGCCCAGTTCCACCCCCGCCTCAGGTCGGCCCAGTTGCGGAGAGGGACCCCGTCCCCTCGTGAGTGTGGCTGTCTGCCCGCTGTGCCTGACTGCGCTCAGCCTGAACATTCCTCCCCGTCACATGTCTGTTGGTCTCCAGCTTCACACTTGCGCTTTTAATCTTCAGCAGCTCTATCTGCTCATTTAGATCCCTCACGTCCCCTCAAGCCACAAGTCCACCCAGACACACGCACACACAGGCAGACTTCACGTGTCTGCATCCGAGAGATGAACTTCCATGTAAAATGGATGAGTTCACACGCAATGGGGATGTAGGCTAGATCAAAGGCACGGCAAGAGAGTGAGAAATGTTGGAATGAGTGATGAGGACAAAGGTTCCTAGAATGTCCAAGCTGAAAATAATTCAGGGACCATCTACTCCACTATCAGCTTTATTGGAAGCCATCTGATTTCAATTGCTAAATACAATTCACTGCTCAAAAATGTGTCACCCCGCCCACCCTCCCCCATTTTACAAATAAGGAAATCAAGATTCCAAAAGGCCAGGTGAGCCGTCCTCCATGTATGAGAGGCCTCTGAACCAAGGTGCAGAGAAGGGCAGGGACCCAAGGGGGCCGCTGGGAAGCAGTAAATGCAGCGGCCGGAGTGCAAGTGCCCCGCATACTGATGCCTGGTTTCAAAGCCCAGCTTCACCTCTTACAATTTCATACCTTCAATTGCCTTGTCTGTAAAAAGTGGGGGAGGTATGACAGCTATTCATGGGTTTATGGTAAGGATTAAATGAGATGATTTCTGTAAAGTTCTCAGCATCATGCTGGGCATACAGTAAGCCCTCGGGAAATGGTAGCTACTACTGTTGTCATTATATTGGAGCCAGCTGCCTCTGTGGATGCCCCCTCTCTGTGCCTGCGTGTATATGAATAAAGGGGTGAAAAGAATGCTTTTTCAATTTTCTGAAATTTTGCTGATAAAGCATTCACATTTTTTCACTTAAACTACTGTAAGATTTATATATATTCCTTACACTGGATATGAGTAAGAGCCATGATTCATAAGTTTTAGGTACAATTTAAAATAAGCATATCTATTATTACCAAAATTACACATGGCCTTAGCACATGACCCATCCAGGGTGATCTCACTGAGTCTTGGAGTTGGCTTAGTTTTAGGGTCATATTCTGGTACTGTTACCAAACCAAACTTGGGTCCACCCGCCTGCACACAGTAAAGCCAATCTACTAACACTGGGTTGTGGTGAAGGAAAGTGCAGCGTTTATTGCAGGTGCCAAGCAAGGAGTCCAGGCTGCTCATGCTCAAAAGACCCAAACTCCCCAGTGGTTTTCAGGCAAAGGTTTTTAAAGACAGGGTGAGGGAGCGGGGGGATTGTGAGGTTCATGATCAACTCATGGACATTCTTCTGATTGGTTGGTGGTGAGGTAATCGGAATCAACATCATCAACCTTCTGGTTCCAACCAGTCTGGGGTCTACCTGCTTGTGGTCAGCATGCAGTTAACCTCTTCCACCTGGAAGGGATTTCAGTCTCTGTAAAACAGCTCAAAGGATATGGCTCAGAATATGGCCTCAGAGGAGGAACTAAAGGTCCTTGACTTTGTTTAATAGCTAAACTATTATTATTTTGTCTTGCTTGACTGTTTTCTTTTCTGCATTTTCTCACTTTTCTGATTAAATTTATTCTTTGGAAATCAGGGAAGGCCTAGGAGGCTAAAGTTTTTCTACAGACAAGAGGCAGGCAGAGGACATGGGTGGGGGGGGGGTCTTTCCCAGGAAGGTCCCATAGGGTCCTGCTGGGTTACAGGACTGACCCTGGCTCCCACATCTTTGTGGTTCATCATGGTGCTCCAGCACCTCCAGGAAGCCTGAGGAAGATTTGCTGAGTGGCAGTGCCCCACCATGCCCTCTTTTCTCTTAGGCCAGCTCCCCAATGTGTTCTGTCTGCATATATTCTGCTCGTTCCCATCCTCTTGATTCTGCTTCTGCTGTTCCCCCAACTCAAAAGACCTTCATCCCTTTCCTTAAATCTTACACATCCTCAAAGCCCTGACGTAATAAAAATGGCAGGTACCTTTCATTAAATGCTTACTAGGTTTCAGATCCTGGCTAATGAGGTGGGCACTATAATTATTCTCTCTTTACAGGGAGGAAACTAAGGCATGGAGGGGTGAAGCAACTTGTGGAAGATCGGTCCCTGAAACTGAGTCCCCCTAAGTCTGAGTTCCTCTGCTGAGTTTATGATTAACCTTTCTATCCAACACTTTACTCCTTTTCTTTTCCTGAATCTGTTCCCCTCAAGATTGAGGAGTATCAAAGAAAGGGGGGAATTGAACAAACCCCTGTGTCCCTGTCCTTTGAAGTAAAGGCTTTTGATTTAGTCTCCCAGGCCTCCCTTGAGTCTCAAAAGGCTGGCTCAAGAGTTAATGATTAGGAAATGTGAAGATGTAGAAACAAAGGGCAGCTGTTGGGCTGGAAAACTGGTAACAATTTAGACTATAAATCCACCACACAGCAGAACCACTGAACTCCCAGTTCCCTGAAAGATACAGACAAAGGCCTGACACACGTTCCTAAGTTGTTTTTACAGGAAGCAGACCCCACCAGATGGAAACTGCTGACTGCAGGCACAGACCCCAGACTGGTTGAAACCAGAAGGTTGATGATGCTTGAAACTTCACCTTGATGCCAAACAATCCGGGAATTGTGCACAAGCCGATCGCTCACCCTGCAGCCTCCTCCCTCACACTGCCTGTAAAACCCCTTCTCTGAAATCCATTGGGGAGTTCAGGTTTTTGAGCACGAGCTGCCCATTCTCCTTGCTTGGCACCCTGCAATAAAGTCTGTACTTTCCTTAACTACAATCCAATTGTCAGTAGATTCACACTCAGGTGAGTGGACCCAAGTTTGTTTTGGTAACACCCTGGATCCTTCCAGGCACTCATACATTTGTGCCAAGCCCTTTCTAGCCCACACTTTTTTGTCCTTCCTCTGAATTTCTGTCTCAGTGTGCTGCACTTTTAAATACTTCGATGTGAAATTCTTGTCTGTGTCTTTATTTTTTCTCTACAACTAGAATGTAAATTCTAGTTGGAGGACCTGGAAGATTTCTCCCATGAGAAGTCTTGTGAACAAGAAAAAGAGAGTTAGGCATAAATAGAAGGCGTTTAATAACCTTATTCAAAGGCTATGTCATCTGGAGGGCACATCCTTGAGTATGTGCTTGGCTCTGTCCTCAAGAGCATGTGGGTGAGTCACCAGTAGTGACAGTGGCTTCCCTCTCAGTCATGACATTATCTTGTCTGGATCCCAAGCCACTGGGTCCCCCACTCCTCAGAGGAGTATGTGGCTGCTGCACATTTCTTCGTCATAATATCCACAGGACATGGAATGAGATGGTCCCCCTTTGTGTTTCCTCTTGTTACCAAGCCCAAGCTCATACTTCTCTCCACATGACAGGCCAATAAATTAGAGATGAGGTGTTGGGGCAAGGAATAAGGACTTTATTTGGAAATCCAGCAGACTGAGAAGACGGTGGACTAGTGTCCCAAAGAACCATTTTGCCCAGCTTTGGATGTTAGTTTCTCTTATGGAACAAAGAGGAGGAGGTGAGGAGGTAAAGTTTAAAAGGCAGTAAGTTGTTGCCATTGTTTCCTGGTTCCAGTCAGACTCTGGTGGGGGTGTGTTAATTTCTTCTTTCCTGCAGCCATTCCTGGGTGGGCCTGGTCAGGATGTTTCCTGTGAACTAAACAAAGGTATTTTAGCTCAATGCTCGGGCATGGGAGGCAGGGTTCCCAGAGATTATGTATACTTTAAGTTATTGGCAACATCCCTTTAGTGGTTAACTTGTCTCAAAAGCAATAGAATACAAAGATTAAACTAAAAGGAACAGATCCAATATGGAGTCAGATATGTTCTTCCCTGTTACGCTCTGGGCAAATGTAAGCCAGAGCCTTATTGAAAAGTCCCACCCAGCAGTCCTGGTGTCTCAAGCAGAGGCTTCAGCCCTGCCGTCTGTTTCCTGTGGCAGGAAAATAATAGCCTCACACAGGGAAGTACTTTTAACTTCTTTAAAGGGCTTTCATGTCATTGCTCTCATTTCATGTGTACAATACCCCTGTCAGGTAGGTATTATTATTTCCCATTTGAAGCTAAGGAAAGAGAAGCCCAGAAATTCAATGTCTTGTCCAGAATTTCCCGAGGAAACCATGGCTGGGCCGGAACCAGAATCTGGCCTTTCCCTTGAACCTTGTTGCCCACCACCCAGCCCTGCCTCCCCTCTCATTCATTGTCGGCCCCAAACTATGGCAACAGTGAAGCAGCAGTTCTTCCCCCTGAGCATGTGGGAAGAATGAAACTCTAACCCCTTTAAGGTTTTATCTGAAAGCCTTGCTAATCCATCAGCAGTCTGTTAGATAGCAGCTTAAATCTCCCCACCACTAAGGAGGACCCTCCCAACGGATTCCCAAACACATTAGAGGAGGTGTGAGGTGGCATGAGCGCGGAAGCTGGGGCACTTTCTCTGAGAAATGGAGGTGCTCAGATTTCCAGACACTGCTGTCCCCTCTCAGACAGGGTGGGGGAGCCCAGGGTCTGCCCAAGCAACTCCTCAGCCAAGGTCACTTAAATGACAGATTGATCCTGAAAAGCTCCTCGTTGATCCTGAATAAGCCCCTTATTCATTCAGTGAGCACCTACTATGTGCCAAGCACCGTGCTGGATACTGTAAAATGACTCTGGGTGAAATGGATGATATTTCCTCATCCACTGCTATGATACTTATAGCAGGGCAGTATCAGGGTGACAAACAAGTCAGACACAAGCAAAAACTCTCCTTGGAGCTATTGTGATCTTGACCTCTGATCCATTCACCTGACCTCAAGGATTAGAGGAACATCCACTGAGGACAAGGATCCTCCAAACCCCAGCCCTTGGATGACAGGAGTTATCACTCCAAAGTCCAGGTATGGCAAGGTGCCTGGTGTCCTTCAAGCAAAAGGAAACATTTAGAAGACTTCAGACTGCTGTGGGAGTGCTCTCAGTATTACAGTTTATAAATGGAGGGATCATATGTCTGATGAAACAGTTCCTCTCCTATATGGTCTTTATTCCTACTGAACTCAGCTGTGACTTTTTCTCCCAAGGGCAGTTTGGAAGTGCATCAGGAGAAATGTGGTCTTCCCTCTTTACCCAATCAGTGGAAGGCACTGACCCCCTCTGAGCACCAGTGAATAAACTCTGATAACTAGAGCTAGACTTGGTCTCACCTTTCCCTTAGATGTTTGCTGGGGACAACCTCCTCCATGAAAGTGCTATGTGTTTAGGATCTCTAGTCCTTGTTGGACCACACATCTGAGGCTCTGGATCATTAAAAATGCAATTTAAAAAAAAGGACCTTTTTTTTTTTTTTTTTCTTCTCAGAACTGGCGGAATCATATTCAGGTCAGGAACTGAAGCAGGAATGGTGTTTTTGAAATAAAGACTTTCAAATAGTTGGGCTGTTTGCTGCTGTAACCTGAGTCATTGAGAAAAGAAGATCAGCATCTGCAGGGGTGGCCAGGGAACACTGTGTGTTCAGCAGCAGGAGGCCAAACAAGGTGGCCCCAGTGGGTTCTTCCTGAAGGCACTCTGGGACCAGACTGGACCAAGAGCCTGAGGCCCAGCTCTGCCCTAGTCATGTTTATGACCTCAGACTGACCAGCTACCTTCTCTGGGTCAGGACCTTTGACTTGCTATTTCCTTGTAGACTGGACAGTTGATATGCTTGCCCAGCACCCATTCCCCCTGTTGTACAAATGACACCTCAGTCTTCCTTGGGGAACCACTCCTCCCCATGCGTGGACCACATGATTTAGATGGAGCTGATTTGTTTGTTTGTTTGTTTGTTTGCGGTACGTGGGCCTCTCACTGTTGTGGCCTCTCCCGTCGTGGAGCACAGGCTCTGGACACGCAGGCTCAGTGGCCATGGCTCACGGTCCCAGCCACTCCGCGGCATGTGAGATCTTCCCAGACCGGGGCACGAACCCATGCGCCCTGCATCGGCAGGCGGACTCTCAACCACTGCGCCACCAGGGAAGCCCTAGATGGAGTTGATTTTAACCCTGGTTCCAGAGATGGGTGTGGAATTTAAGCCAATCATAGCATTGTACATCCCTTTCATCATAGTGATTGGTTCAGAGGTGGTCATGTGACCTGAAGAGGGCCAATCAGAGCTCAGCCCAGACATGGAGAACAAAGGAAAGAGAGGAGCACTTACGTTCACTGAGGTTGCTCAGAGGACTAGGACCCGAGTTTGGAGCTGTGCTGGTGGAGATTTTGACATCCTTGAGAAGGCCTTCACTGAGAATGGAGTCAGCATAGAGGAAAGCAGAACCAACAGATGGAGTTAAAGAGAGCCCTGACATCATTGTTGGAGCCCCCAGATCCAGCTGTGCCTGAGGTTATCACTGGGCTTCCCAGTTATGTGAGATAACAAGTCCCCCTTTTGCTTCAGCCAGTTTGAATTGTCACTGTTACCAAAAGAGCACTTATCAATACCCTCCACCTGATTCCCCTTGTCCCCTTTACCTTGATTGAGATCTACTTACCCTAAAAGTGTCAGTGTAAATGTTATGTGCTCCTGCAGCTTGGCCCTGGGGTGTGGGCAGAAGTGGAAACTGTAACAGGAGGAGGAACTCACTGGGAAAAGACAGGACCCTGGAGAAATGTCAGAGGGACCCCAAAAGTCAGCCTCTACCCCTGAGCTTCACCTTTCCATTTCTTCATTCCTTTCTTCACTGTCAGATATGACTTGAGCTCCCTCCAAGCTATATGCCATGTGCTGAGAACACAGCAGTGAACAAGACACACCACAATTCCTGTCCAGGAGCTTACATTCTACTAGTCTATTTGAGATTTGACTTTTAAGAGCTGTGTTCTTCACAATCACCTAAACCAATTGGTGAACAAACAAAATCTTTTTTTGGTTTCTTTTAGTGTGCCCAAAGTAGTCTAATTTTCCAAATCTTAAAAAAAGGAAGAAAGACCTTTACTAAACAGCAAGGAAACAAAAAAGAAACACAATACAAGAAGCATGAAATCAGTCGCATCTTAGAAGTTCTTCTCTTCTCCTTCAGAGCCAGCAAGCTTCCAGCACTTCCTATTGTACTGTTACCTACCTGGGTTCTTGGACTCTTTAATCAAGAGGAATTGATAAGAGGCCACATGAGGAATTCAGGCAAGGCTTTACTGGGGCCCCTGCTGCAGCATGAGAGAGTAAGAACAAGCAACAGGTGCCCTACCTAGCTCGATCCCTCAAACAGGGTGAGGGTAGAGATGGATCTGTGTGTCGGGCGGGAGGCGTGGCTCGGGTGGTCTGCCCATCCCCTTGGTCCTGCCGTGTGCAGAGATCACGCGCAGTACCCTGCTTTGGCTCCGGGCACCTCGGCACCTTGGAAGGGCAGTTGGGTTTGGCCTTTCTGTATCTTGTTCATGACTTGCCCCAACTGCGCATGCACGCAGTTATTTTAGTCCCTTATAGTTTCTTCATACTCTGTTGCTCGAGGAGATGTTTGTCCAGGTGCAAGCACTGCAGCAAAGGCCCCAGGTCCCAGCCTGTCTTGGTACAACCTGAGAAAGCCACCTTTTAGCAATTGGGTCTCTCTGTGGCCCCACTCCTCCTGGCTCCCACCAACCCTGGAAGGGCCCAGAGGAAAGAGGAGGCTGGCCGATGCCCAGGAAGACAGTCCAGCCCAGACCATTCTCAAGGTTGACGTCTGGGGGGGGTATTTTCCCTCCAGGGTCCCTGCTAAAGGGAGTCTCAGTTTCTTTCTTCACATCTCCCTGCCTGACTTGTTATTAAATTAATTCAAAGCTCCTTTGTAACTCCTGGAGAAGGTATTGACGTGATCTCTTGGATCCAGGGTAGAGCTCTAAGCCTGAGGAGGCCCAGTGTAGGCCCTGGCCATGGCCAAGCGTCTCTTCTAAGCTGACTGAGGTGGCAGGGTTCTTGGGACATTTGTTTCTTGTTTTGATAGGGACCCAACCAGGATCACAAGCCCCCAAGGCTACAAAGAACCTGTGGTCATAATTATGACAATGAGAACTGTCTTTCCTGAAACACAGGGTTTCCATTTCTGCCTTCTTGACACTTAAAATAGTTTTTATCAAAAGCCGTTCTAAGGGGAGCCTGGTGTTTTATATCAGGGGGAAAGAATGGAAATCCTGCCAAATCCAGAAATGCTTGTACTCCATCCTTGGTTTATCCCATTCTCACTCCTGCTTCTGTACTCATTTTGGTCCTAAGAGGGGCTCTTCTTCTGAAGAAATAAGACCATCAGCCTGGGTAGAAACAAACCCAGCAGACATATATGCCGGCCCCTCGCCGTCGGGCCCTCCTGACTAGCAGCAGGCCAGGTGGGGACATCCTGTGGCTCCCTTGAAGGCGTGCTGGTGCCCCTGGCTTTGCAGCCCAGCCCACACCTGATGCCTGCACATCTCAACTGCTGGACCACAATCTCACAAGCCTCGGTGAGGTATGCTGAATAGAGAGAGCACTGAAATAATTCTGAGAATGGTAAGTAGATCTTTTTTCTGGCTTTCTCTGAATGACTATTTCAAATGTGGTTTATCAGATGTAATTCTGGTTTTATCCAGAAGTACCAGCTTACCTGACCAAATCACCTGGGTGAGAGTATTGAGTTTTAGAAGGAACTGGATGGCTTCCTCCCACCATCCTCTCCTGCCTCAGACATTTTAACACAGTGGCCTTTGCTCTCCCTCTTTAGGGCTTCTGTGTGTCCATGGGGGGCCAGGTATTTTCCAGGCTTTCCGTGGTAAATGTTAGATTACTCACTCTCTTTCCGCTGTAATGGAAAGATTTTTCTTCTGAGAATGTAATGTTGCCTGGAAATAACAAGGAGAAAAGGGAGGAGGAGGGGGAGGGGAAATGAGAGGAGGATGAAGAAGATAGAAGGAAATTAGAGGATGAGATGGAGGAAGAGGGCTTTACAGGCACTGTTAAAACTTTTTGTTTTGAGATAATTATAGATAAACATGCAGTTGTAAGAAATAATGCAGAGATCCCTTGCACCTTTCACCAAGCGAATGGTAACACCTTACATAACTATAACACAATATCACAACCAGGAAATTGACAATGATACAATCCACAAATCTTATTCACAATTTCACCAGTTTTAATGCACTCGTGTGTGTGTGTGTGTGTGTGTGTGTGTGTTGAGTTCATTGCAGTTTTATCACTTGTGTAATTCTTGTGACCACCACTACTGTCAAGATACAGACAGTACCTTGTGCTGCCCTTTTCTAGCCACGTCCACTCCACCCCCCACCTCTGACAACCACTAATCTGTTCTCTATCTCTAGAAATTTGTCATTCCAAAAATCTAATATAAATGTAATCTTTTGAGATTGGCTTTATTCACTCAACAGAAATCCCTGGAGATTCATCACGTTGTTATGTGCATCGCTAGTTCCTTCTTTTTTATTGCTGAGTAGTGTTCCGCAGTGTCCGTATCCCAGTTTGTTTAACATTCACCTGTTGAAGGATATCTAGGCTGTTTTCAGATTTCAGCTACTCCAAATAAATTTGCTATGAAAATTGAGGTTAAGGTTTTTGTGTGAACATGCGTTTTCGTTTCTCTAGGACAGATGCCCAACGTGCTTTTGCTAGCTTGTGTGGTAACTGTATGTTTAGTTTTATAACAAACTTCTAGAGTGGCTGTACAATTTTCCATTCCCACCAGCAACATGTCAGTGATCCTCACTTGCATTTGGTGATGTCTTTTTTTAATTTGAGTCAATCTCATAGGTGTGTAGTGATGCAGTTTGCATTTCCTTAATGGCTAATGTTAACATCGTTTCATGCACTTATTAGCCATTGTTACTGAATGCAAGTTCATGGACCCGACACACAGTGAGGCTAAACAAACCAAAGCGTCGAAGGGTGGAGCAGAGAAAGGTTTATTGGAGGGCCACGCAAGGAGATGGGTGGCTCATGCCCAAAAAACCCCAAACTCCTTGTAAGTTTTCAGCAAAGCATTTTTTTTTATATATCTTTATTGGAGTGTAATTGCTTTTCAATGTTGTAATGTTTGTGTTGGTTTCTGCTGTATAACAAAGTGAATCAGCTGTACGTATACATATATCCCCATATCCCTTCCCTCTCGCGTCTCCCTCCCACCCTCCCTATCCCACCCCTCTAGGTGGTCACAAAGCATTGAGCTGATCTCCCTGTGCTATGCAGCTGCTTCCCATTAGCTATTTTACATTTGGTAGTGTATATATGTCCATGCCACTCTCTCACTTACCCTTCCCCCTCCCTGTGTCAAGTCCATTCTCTACATCTGCATCTTTATTCCTGTCCTAGGTTCTTCAGAACCTTTTTTTTTTTTTTTTTTAGATCCATATATATGTGTTAGCATACGGTATTTGTTTTTCTTCACTCTGTATGACGGACTCTAGGTCCATCCACCTCACTACAAATAACTCAATTTCGTTTTTTTTATGGCTGAGTAATATTGCATTGTACCTATGTGCCACAACTTCTTTATCCATTCATCTGTCGATGGACACATAGGCTGCTTCCATGTCCTGGCTATTGTAAATAGTCAGCAAAGCATTTTTAAAGGCCAGATGAGGGAGGGGCATGGTTGTTTGTTGCACACTTCTTGGTGTAGGAATCCTTTGTTCTTGCAGCTGTCCACCTAGGTCAGGTCACAATGTTCCTGTAAACATCCAACAAGACAAATGTTATTCTCTGTTCTGCACTTTTTATCTCTATTTGAATGGAAAAGTGTTATACCCTTAAACGTCAGAGACTTGAGAATGGGCTATCCTGTATATTTCAGTCTACAGGCAACATTCTAAACTTGAAGCAAAAGCAATAGAATACAAACATTACGGTAAAAGAAACAGACCTAATATGGAGTCTGGTTTGTTCTTCCCTATCACACCATCTGTATATCCTCTTCATTGAAATGTCTGTTCATGTCTTTTCTCCATTTTCTAATGGGATAGCTTTTTTGTTTGTTTGTTTTTACTGTTGCATTTGAAGGGTTCCTTAGATATCTAGAACATTAGCACTTAGTCAAATATGTGCTTTGCAAATATTTTCTCTTCATCTGCAGTTTGACATTTCATCCTCATGCTAGGATCTTTCACACTCTGAAACTTTTTAATTTTGAGTAAGTTCAATTCCTCAACTCTTCCTTTTGTGGGTTCTGCTTTTGGTGTTAAGCCTAAGAACTTTTTGCCTAACCCTAGGTTCAGAATATTTTCACCTATTCTTTTTTCTAAAAGTTTTATAGTTTTACATTTTACATTTAAGTCAATGATCCATTTTGAGATAATTTCTTGATAATGTGAGGTTGAGGTTGGTTCATGTTTTTGCCTATGGGTGTCCTTTTAGGTATATTTTTAAAAGGTTAATCCTTTCAGCAACCATCTGAAATGAGTATTGTATTATATTATCATCCCATTTCACAGATGGAGGAACCTAGAGAGATTTGGTAATGTGACCAAGGTCCGACTGCTGACAGGTGGTAGGAAAAAAGCCATGGTTTGAAAGCAGGTCTACCTGACTCACATGCTCTTGCAGTTAAGCCCTGCTGCCACCGCCTCATTCCTTCCCTTTCTTTCTGGGAGAGCCTTCCTTCCTGGGCAGGTGTCCCGGTTTCTTGAACACATTCCTTCATCTTGACTAACCTTGCCCTCACCTCGGTTCATGGGCTACCAGACATTGGAGCCTGCCACAACTCATCCAGGTATCCTGTGACATGTTTGCAGGGTGGAGAATGGGGACAGATTGGGGAACTTCCCTGTATGCAAAGAGCTTGTCATTCTGGTCTGGGGAAAGGCTCATACTGGATTTCAGCATCTTTCAAAGTATTGCAGAGCTGCACTACCAACTCACTGGTCTGGGGGTGGCAGGCCCTCCCCCAGAACAATCAGACACCAAAATTCATTTAATAATTCTGAGTCCAGAAAATTTTCATCCCTGATCTGCCAAAGTAAAATATATTGATAGAGCCAACAGGAAGGACTCGGAGCATCTTGGAGCAAAATTCCTATGGTTAGAACATGTTTCTTGCTCTTTCTGGTAGGACTGGATCATGGTCAGACTACCCTAGTAGTTCATTTCCATTCATCACACCCATCCCCGTTCATGGGTAGGAGGGCAGTGAATGCGGAGCTTTCCTCTGCAGCTCTCTGCTCTCCACCCACTGGCTGTGGACTTCCTAGGCAGGCAGGACCTAGTAACTTCTGCATTCAGACCACTGGGGAAAAAAATCAGCAGTCTATAGATTGTCGTTGTTCTTTCCCAGATCCCTAAGTATCACCCTACCTATTAATGAGGGATCCAGGAACTCTTTGCCTCTGTGACTTTACATTCAGAAAGAGCCCCTCCCCTTACTTCTCTCAGAGTTTTTCCAAAGACTACTAGGCTTTTGTCCTGGCCCACTTTAGAGAGCCCAGCTACAGGTATATATCTATTTTGTAGTTATAGGTACATGCACATATCTATCTTGCCAGATTCTTCAAACGCCTCGGAGGTGCCTGATCCCTCAGCTTGGCTGTTTCAACAGATAGGTCAACAGTAACACATGCCAGGTCCTTTGTGTCCCTCCGCCCACCCTGTAAAGAAATGAAGAAGAGTTTTCTTCGGGATTCTGACACCTGCCTTGAGCCCTGGGTATCTCCTCCCACAGGGATGATTCCCCGGCACTCCCGTGATGGTCTCTGCAGAGGGCCAATGGCAGATTCTGGTTTCTTGCTCTCCCTAGAGAGCCACTTCAAGTGTAACTGGTCCAAGGGGAATTTCCTTGATGGATTCAGGCCATTTGACCCTGGTATTTCCCCCAGTGGCCTAGACAGATCATGTTGAGGGTCAGAGATCAACCTTCCTTAGGTCCCATGGGCCACCTTCCCAATCTCCATGCTCACCCACCCAGCAGAAGCTGAGACGCATTCTCCTTGGTCTCCTGATCTCCTTGACAATAATATCCTCTGTCATCTTCCAAGCTTCCCTGGGGGAGGGTCTGAGACTTGTTGGGAGTAGGCAGGGCTGCTCCAGGGGCAGTAAGTTCTGTCGGGCCCTGTCTTGCTCCAGCCAAAGCAAGCCAGGGCCTCCCTCTGACATTGTCTTTGGGGGTATGTCTCCTGCTCTGGAACAGTTTCCATCGCCTCCACCCTCTTCCAGGGAGCACGACCCCCTTCCCTCCTTTTCCCCCATATCCTTTAAAGGCTCCTGTTATGCCCAACCCTTTCCACAGGGACCAAACAGACCTGGGTTTGAATCTCAACTCCCACTTACTAGTTATGTGGCCATTCACTACTTACTGTCTTCAAGCCTGGTCCCCCCATCCCTCACAAATGGGGAGATATTAACCTCATGCTGTTGTTGTGGATTTAAACAAGATCATATCTATAAAGTTTGTACAGCAGGTAAAGGAACTACTGACCTTGGAACAAAGTTAAGGCTCAATAGTGGCACTGTCTCCGGGCCAATCTTCAGTTTTCACTCTGCCCACCAGAATTCATCCTGGGGAAGGCGGGTAAATTGTTATGGGAAGCGCAAGTGCCCCAACTCCCACATGGGGTCCCTGCTCACCTATCATGGCCATGCTGCTCCCCAGGAGTCTGGCAGGAGTCAGGATATAGGGCTCTACAGGTTAGGGCCAAAGGCAAGGCATGTCCTCCTCTGGTAGGCAGGCTCCTCAAACTTGAGGATGGTCACCTGGGGGTTCCCTGTGGACTTTGGCTCACCTGCCCAGCTGCAGGTGAGAAGTGACCTACCCTCCACTGCTCTGTGACAGTTCCTTTAGCAGCACCTGCCCTGGAATGGCCCTGGGAAAGCCACCTGTTCAAGCACTTATAATTTTCTCTGTTCTGGGGGGTCTCTCAGGTGAGCGGGCAAGTCCATGGACCCAAAACCCAGAGATACCCCGCGCCCCGCCCAGGCTCAGCACCAGGAAGCTTTCCTGTATCCTCACCTGTATCCCCAGACAAGGACCAAGAGACCTCCCACAGTGGATGCCAGGAAAGAGGAAGGAAGTAGGGAGTTCGGAGAAAGGAAGGGGAGGCCACCCAGATGTGCTTCCGCAGGACACCTCCCTTCCCTCTGCCATTGGCTAACTTTACCCACCAGGACAGCTTCACATCTGTCCAGAAGCCACGTTTGCCTCTGCAGGTGCATCTTCTCCCCTCCTGCCCCAAGTCTCCGCACGGAGCCCTTGACCAGATTCCTCCACAGCCCCACCCTGCTCTGTGTTCGTCTCCTCCCAGGCTGCCCCAGTCATGCTCCAGCTGCTCCCTGAGCCTCAGCTCTGGCCCCTGGCAACAAGCCACCCCAGTAACTGGGCTAAGGAGTTCACCTCCCCCATGGTCAACCCCAGACCCAGCACTCATCCCTCTCAGGTCGGGGCCAAAAGCAGTGCCGAGAAGGGGAGCTCCCGCCTCTCACCCCATGGGTCCTGCTGACCCCTCCTTGGTGACCTTTTGCATGCAGAGACTGACTGGCAAGGAAACAAAAAAGCCGTCAGCAACAAAGGAAGCGTTAAGTCAGCCAAGCCAGCTGATCCAGACCAGAGGATCCGCGTTACAACGTTTTACTCCAGACTTGCTGTGGAGGCGTGGGTTCCAGGCCCCCAGCTCTACAGTGGAGACCCCTGGCAGGGCCCCGAACCTTTTATAAAGCCTCAGGACTTACAAGTTGAATGAATAAATGAATCTACTTCCGCGTAGAGTTAGGTCCAAATCAAAGGGGGCCAACTGCTCCGGCCAGACTCCTGTTTCTAATTTCAGGACACCTTCCACTCCCAGCACCTACCCAGGATCAAGCCGAGGGGACACAATCACGGGCCGAGACTGAGGAAGGATACTGGGGCGGGGCAGAGTCTTTTGGGGTGCTGCGCAGAGACGAACCCTCTTTCCGGTCCGCGCCCCCATCGCTGCCCGCGGCCTCAGGGCTCAGGCTGGCTTTCCCCGCCCTCGCAGGGCTGAACCAGTTCCTCCCTGCTGGCAACCCCACCCTCCTGGAACCTGCCTCGCAGGAAGCGGAGGGTGCAGCCCGGCCGGCCGGGAGCGCGCGGGGCTTGGAGGGCCCGGGCCGTGCCGACCCCATGGCCGCGGGCGTGGAGCAGCGGCTGGGCGGCCTCCCCGTCTTCACCCGCGACGACTTCGAGGGCACCTGGCGCCCAGTGGCGAGCGGCGGCTTCAGCCAGGTGTTCCAGGCGCGGCACAAGCGCTGGCGGACCGAGTACGCCATCAAGTGCTCCCGCTGCCTCCAGCCTGACAGCATCAGGTACCCGCCTGCCTACCCCCTCCTTTTGCGGAGGGAAACCCGAGGCCCGGGGAGCTCCCGAGGGAGGGGCGGCCGGGTTGAGGCTGAGGACTGTTCTCTCCACTTTCCTAAACTCTGTCCTGTGGCCTGAGCTCCCCAGGCACAGCCCTGTCTGTTTCTGGCTCTGAAATAAACTTGGCTCTGTTTGTGGAATCAAACCTATGTGTGAAATCCACAGAGGTCAAAGGTGAGCAGGAACTACCCTCCAAATACGCCTTTGTTCCATTCAACCTCCCAAACTGGTCCCGCCTGCTTCTTTCCAGCCTCACCTTCCTTCCAGGTGTCGGCTCGGTGATGACTGCTCTAGATGACCCTCTGCCACCCTCCTACCCACCCCCTAACTCGCAGCGCAGGCAGGGCTGGGCTTGCTCAGAGCCTGTGGCACTTGGCTCAGTGATGCTCAGTGACCTGGGGGGAATCACAGGTTCCACACCAGGGGCAACTCTTGTCTGGTGTGGTCCCAGCCCAGCCCGTGCAGGCTGATGGGGGCTTGCAGGGGGTGGTGGTGGAGGCTGCCCAGCCTGCTGGCCTGAGAGCCTGTCCAGCCCTCACAACGGCACTGCCAGCAGGTCAATCCTGGAATGCTGCTGTCTCCGTCCTTGTTTTTGTCTCTGGCTTCTCCCAGGTCCAGGTCCCATTATATGTACTATGACCACTCCCTGGCAGGCCTCCTTTTCCCTCTTACTACCTCTTTCCCATTGCTTCCACCCATCTCTGCCTTCCCATTGCTTCAACCCATCTTTGCTGGTACTGGCTGTGCCCTCGCCCCTCGTGCAGCCATGGAGACTCTGGGATGTGAAGTCTGAGATGATGACCATGTCCTCCTCCCAAGCCTCCTGGGACATCACCTAGAGCGCCTTGGGGGTGCAGGGAGCAACTCCTATTGGCATCTTTCCTGGTCATTCTCTGTGGTCACTATGCAAGCTCCCAAGACACAGCCTCCGGTCCCACACACCCAAGTCCCTTCTCTCACTCCCAGACCCCCACCTGCTTAATGAATAAGGGCAAAGTGAGATAGCCCCAGACTCACCCACCTTCCTCCCTCAACATCCTGGCTTGGGAGTAGAGTCAGGTTATTCTAGGATCTATTCAAATCATTTACAGCCTTTGAAGCATTGACAAGACTACTCATGAGACATTGACAGTAACTCCCATCTCAATTCCCTTCCCAATTCCAGGAATCCTTGGGTGGAAAGGGCTAAGGGATTTACGGTAATCAATGCCTGCCACGTGTGGAGTGCTATACGAGGAGTTTCATGAGTATGACTTCACTGAATCCTCCTTCCATCATCTCATTCATTGGTCCTCCTGATGAATGTTTGTTGCTCACCTACTATGTGCCAGGCTCTGTGCTGGACCCTGAGATGTAATGATGAATGCCACAGATATAGCCCTCTAAATGTTCTCCTGGAGCTTGCAGATAGGGGAGAAAAGACATTAATCAGACAACCCCACGTGTAAATGTAAGCGTGCTGCTGTGCGAGGTGTAAGAAAGGAGAGAGCTGTGGTTCCATGAAGGCTTATTATTGGAGTTTGAGATCAGAAAAGGCTTCTCTGAGGAAGATACACTTGAGCAGAAATATGAAAGATGAGTCTGAGTTAAGTGGGTGAAGAGAGGAAAGCTTTCCATGTTGAGTTTAAGGTGCCTTTAAACAACCAAGAACTGTCAAGTAGACTTCAGAGTAAAGCTGTGAGCTGACAGTATTAAAATTTGTGAATCATTTGTTATAGGTGTATTTGAAGCTAGGACGTAGGTGACGTTCACTCATTCTAAGCACTAAGTGAACAAAACAAAGTCTCTGCCCTGGTGGAGTTTATAATCTAATGAAGGAAGACAGAAAACTAACAAACAAACAAATATTTTTATCTATATCCCTTACAAACCACCTGACATTTTCTTTGATTAAAATACCTAAGGAGAGTTGAGTAGTCTGATCTTCCAAAAAAAAATTTTGATCTTCCAATAAATAGTAATTTGTGGGCTTTTTTGCCCAAAATGTTAAGATTTTATTTACCAAGCTTCTTTGCTGTACAGAAAGGAAAAATGCTGTTACAGTCTCAGTGTAAGTGGTAGCCACACATGGTTGACTTACCAATCGCAGCTCTCCGCCCTACCACAAGGGTCTTACACGAAACTCTGACAATGCTTATAATTTTGTCATCGCCTATAAATTTCTTATAATGCTTGGTGGTAGATTTCCGAGAGGGACTAAATGGGTGAAGGCAGAATGTCACAGGAACTCTTCTTTGGTTCTTTGCGTGGGTGGGTGTCCTAGGGTTTGTATCACAGCTACCTTAAAAGAAAAGCTACCAACTCTATTTGAGCAGTCCAGCCAATACGGAACTCAAGAACAGATAAAGCAAGGTAGGGTTTTTGTGCAGGTTGTTTGGAGTCTTTCCTTCAGCTTTCCTAGTTTCTTCCTCCCCTTCATCCTCCTCATTTTCTTCATTTATCACCTTCTCTGTCACATCCAAATTCTCCCCTCCCTTCACTTCATCCCCTTCCCCTTCTGCATCTTCCTGTTCACCATCAGACTCTCCCTTCTCACTGTTTTTCTCCTCTTCCTGTGGGCATCTTCTCCTCCTTCATTCTCTTCTGGGGGGATAAGGATTGATGGAACAGGGTTGCTATTTTCTATAGGCTTGAAATCCTCCCTAATTAAGTACTATTTGAGAATAGAGATTTGAAGCAAAGAAAGAGCAAACCATGTGTCTCTCTCAGGCGCTCTTAGTGTTCTAGGCAGAGGGACGAGCAAATGCAAAAGGTCCTGAGGAGGGAACAAGCTTGACATGGTGGGGCAGGTCATAGAGGGCTTTGTAGGCCATTGTAAGAACTTTAAATTTTATTCTGCATGAGAAGAGAGCCACTGGACTGTCCTGAGCAGAGCAGTGACATGCTCTGACTGACATTTTAAAGTACCACTCTGGCTGCTGGTGGAGGGGAAGAGAGAGAAGCAAAGGCACCAGTTAGGAGGCTTGGGCCAAGATGCCAATGGATAGAGGTGGTCACCAGTGGTCAGATTCTTGCTATATTTTGAAGGTAGAGCTGACGGAATGTGCTGAGGGGCAGCTTGTGGGAAGGAGAGGAAGAGAGGAGTCCAGGATAAGCAAGATCTTTGAGGGCTAGAGGGATGGAGGCCCCGTTCACTGAGATGGAGAAGGCTGAGGGGGGAGCGGGTTTGAGGGGAGAATCAAGAGTTCAGCTTTAGACATGTAAAGTGTCGAATACCCAGTTGGAGATGCTGAGATTGCCTAGAGACAGAGTACGGAACAAGGAGAGGAAAGAAGAGGGCCTGGGACTGGGCCTAATGATCAGGTCACACAATAGGAACCCGCAAAGTAGGCACTGACCCTACACTGAGAACGAGAAAATTGCTTGTAGGCTCCAGCAACATGGGGGTCATCGGTGACTAGCAACAGCCTGTCAGTGAGGTATTAAGACCAGAAACCAGATGAAAGGGGTTGGGGGGAGATGAAGAAAAGAGAAAGACAACAGGTGTAGCAAACAATTTCAAGAAGTCGGGGTGTCCAGGGGAGTTGTGCAAGTTACTGCTGTTCCCATTTTACAGTTAAGAAACTGAGGCCCAGAGAGTTTGCTTGTTCAAGTTCATACAGAGAATAAGGTGAAATTGGGATTCGAAAGCAGGGCAACGCGATCCCAGATCCCTTGCTTTTTCCACTTCATGACAGGTGTCTTCTCAGTTCTTGTGACTTCAAAAGTACAAGAGGAGACAGATAAAAGAAAAAATATGCAGAGGTTTGAGGGGAGAGTCCTTGAACAGTAGAGCAGTAAAGACAAGAACGGCAGAAACCAGGACTAGCCAACCTGTCCAGATGCGAGGGAGAGCAGGTGCTTTTCCCTGGAGCAGAGGAGTCTCTGGCTGGCTTCCCAGGGAGGCCCTGTGAGCACATTTCCAGCAGCCTCTGACTGCAGTGCCAGTGCAGCTTTGCAAATACTCTGCTTTTTAAAGATGTCATTTCTCCTTAATCTTCATCCCCGCAATCCCAGAACAATTTATAACAATTTGCATATTTGCTGTTTTGTGGCACATACAGTGAAAAGTTTGCAAATGCTTATTTTGTAAGGCTTTCCTTTAAGTATGGACTTCTGTTCAGTTCAACAAAGATGCCTTGTGCTGTACGTGGCCATGTGCTGTGGGGAGTACCAAGATGAAAACTTATACTTCATCTCCAAAATGGAATCCCATGCAGCCATTACCGAGCTTGCTTTGAGAGAATAACGATGCAGGAAGTGCTCTGCTACACCAACAGGGAAAAGCAGATCGCAGAACAGCCCACACTATGTGATGGCAAGAGGGAGTGGAGGAGAAAGGAGTGACAGGGAGGGAGAAAAGGAGAGAGGTTCCTTGAAATGTATTGTAAAAGGATACGCTAAATTATGAACAGAGGCCAACTCTAGAGGGTTGGGTTACTGATGATTTAATTATTATTACTATTTTTATTATTATTTTTTGGCTGTACCATGAGGCTTGCAGGATCTTAGTTCCCCGACTAGGGATCGAACCCAGGCCCCACAGTGAAAGCACTGAGTCCTAACCACTGGACCGCCAGGGAATTCCCTAATTTTCTTTTCTATTCCCTAGATGTTCTACAAGGTATA